GAGATGTACCGGTGCTTCGGAGGCGGCGCCTCCGGGCCATCAGTGGCGGCAGCTGGTGGTAATAATAAGGTGAAGGTCTTTGGTGGAGATGGGAAAGTTTGGTTCTCAGGGAAGAGAGTGAAAGGAAAACTGGCACTGTGGGAGGAGGAGGAGGTGGTTGGAAAGAGTGGGGGTGGTCTATGGAGTTGGGTGGAGGGTATTCCAGGGTACCCTGAAGCCATGTACAGAGGTTTCATCTTCGATGCCGGGTTCACCGCAACACCTTGAACAAGTCAAGGAACTGGTGAGCTCTTCTACCTATATGGTATGTAAAATTCATAATTTTGTATGATTTATGATTTTAGTTCTGTGTTTCATTTTGCAAAGCTGACCAAGGCATATACTGATCTATACTCACGACCCCTTAGCGCTAGGTGGCGATTTTGTTGGCGTCCTTGCAACTAATAAAGGGTTGACAAACTATTAGTTCATCTCAGGTTGTAATTACCACTAATAAAGTTTAGTGTTCGCCATCATATTGCCTTTTGGGTGTTTGTGTGCAATATGAGCCGTGAGGCTATACTCAATTTTGAGGCATAAGTTATCATACCAATCTTGTTCATACATGGTATCTAAGTTGTCTCGACCTGGCTTGGTAATGTAAGAAACACATTTGCTATGGTTTACTTTTAGATTAAATCGGCACAAGATCATGTGGGACAGATACTGCCCCTTTTCTACACTTTATTGTTTATGTTGGCACTTGGCATCAGGGAATTGCTTAACTTGCCAATGGTAGCTACAAGGCTAGTTACCAGACATCATGGAGGTGTACTGGAAAAGATTAGACCTTGGTTTGAAGATTTTATAGCTGCAATTTCAACAGCTTCATCTAGTGGAATTTAGGCATAAAAATGATCAACTAAATATTTACCTTTTGTATAAACAGTGCCAATTTCTTTAATCGCAATTCATGAGATCAAATGAGTCATGGCTAATCCTGCAGCAGGGTGTAATCAATCTCACTGGATCATGTTATTCTCTTCTTTAAGTACAGAAAGTATCTTGGATTTGTTCACTGCAAAATGCTTCTTGCAAATTTCTTCGTGAAGTTACTTTGGTTTGCCCAATCATCTGTACTTAGTAGTTAGTACAGGGTTCATATAAACTCGAGAACAAATCAACCTTTTTGCCAGAGAGAAAGGAATCCTTTCTGTAGTTCATTTGCATGAGTTAACTAAGTCAAAACATGATTGCTAAGATGTATGTGGTTGTCTCATAAATATCTTTGAAACTGTAGTTGAGCATGTAATTCTTAAAATTGTGTAAGAAAATAATATTATCTTCGGTCTTCTGGTTGCTTATGGATTCTACTATGGCTTCTTGATTGTGACAAATGATTTTCCATTGATTGGTATGGTTCTGAAGAGCCATGTTAGAAAGGTACCAGCACACTCCATGCCAACCCATTCATCTCGAGTGGCATGATTTGACACATACCTTGCCAAAAAAATATCAGCCAGCCAATTTTTTGTACCTGCTGGCAGCTCGGTGCATGCCCTCCAGCAAAATAGAAAATCACAATGTGGCAAAAAGGGACTGATGCCCACATGCGGCAATACAACAGTAATTGTTTGTTTATGATGTCATTATTTATGGCCTTGGACAACCATTTAATAGTGGTGACAATATTAGGCTTATGGAATCAATGTGTTTTTTTCTTTTAATTTGTCAATCGTGTCTTTGGGCACATTAAAGTAATCAAGGATAATAATTTGATGGACTTTTATGCTCCATTCTCTCTTGTATATAACCTTCTGAGAAAATAGATATAATTAAATATTTCATTCCTGATAAAATTAAAGAGTGGTAAACAGGTAACATCTGTTTACTTTTGATATTCTGCTTTCCTTTGGCCTTCATAACCTGCTTGACTTGTTTGTGTGCAGATAATGTAACTAATATTTCTTTTATGTTTAATAATAGGGTTCAAATTGACAAGCTCTGACTTCTGTAGCAGTGTTCGCTTCGTTATACTATATTTCATACTTTTAACAAATAGCACTGTGGAGATAACATAATGAACATAGACAAACAAGATGGATAATTTAGCATTTGCATCAGGAGCTATTGGCAGAGGGATGCGGAAGTGGTTGGTTGCCTTTTGCCTTGTGTACTGAAAACCTCCTTTTTCATCTTGCTTTTGTGAACCTTGTTTTGATGTTGTATGACAATTTGGCTCAAGTCTTTTAAGAGTGACCAAAGCATTCACATTGTTCAAGTCAGTTGACAGTTAGAGCTTGAAAGGTTGTATTTATGGAAGCCAAGATCTTGAAAAAGAATATTCATATGATTTTTATGTGTTCCATCAGCATTTGCTGAAACCCTCAAGAAGATGTCACTCACAGCTATGTAATAATTTATAACATATGATATTGATGAATGAAGAAAGTAATGTTTGAATCTTTTTGTTCCTATAGTTTATGACTTTGAGTTTCCTATGTATCACTTAATCATGATCTCTTGTGAGGTCCTGCAGAAAGGAGAAAACGAAAGCTCTCTGGCACTGCTGCTTGTGCCGCTAAATTAGGACATTTGTAAACATCACTTGGTTGCCATATCTATATTTCTAGTGAAGTTTTGTTGTTTTGGTATGCTCGACAACCCTTGATTCATCATCTGCACGCAACAAGCATTTTCAGGTGGTTGACTTTGAACATCTTACTCAGGTGCTGAATCTCACGTGAACAGAGGGATAATTTCCCAAGGAAACTGTCTTTGTTGAACAAGAGCATATAAAAATCTTGAATGTTTGTGTACCAGTGGAGTCTTGTACCATGCTGTGCTATCTATCTTTTTGCTAGCTTTCTATTTTCACAGGGATTGAGAAGGTGGAAACATATCATACACTCATACAGATGAAGCCTCATTGTGGTTGAGTTAGACTTCTAGATATTTGAATCCTTTTCTAGAGTTAGGCAAATACAGATGCCTTAGTTTTAAGGAGGCTGCTTTCAATCAGAAGATTTTTAGTCTGGACTTCATGAACCTGCCTTTCTTTTGAAGCTAAATTGATTGCTTATAGCTTTCTCTTCAGTACAAAAAGTGTATTATACACACTTATTTTCTTGCTTCATGGAGCATCAGGCATGAGATTAATAATTTATTTGGAAATGTGTTATACTATATTATAAGATTGCAAGTCCAAGTTCAAACATGTGAACCACTTCAGAGAGTGGTCTACAAGTTTCTGGTGGCTATTTCAATTTGATATTACTAGTCATCTTTTGTTGTGGTGGTGAAGATTAGGAAAATCTCTTGAAAGCTCCAGTTTTTACTACCTGAACAGCCTTCATGGGAGACCATGTCATACCGGCAAATGAAGGAACTGGTGTGTACAATTTGTTATCCACATTGTAGCATTTTGTCATTGGAATTGTCATTATAAATTTATTTTGATGTTTTAGTGTTGTTCTGAGAGCAGGTATATCCAGGAGAAATGGAATGCAGAATGATCTAGTCTCACTCTGTTGTTATCTTCATCAACTAGCATTGCTTTCCATGATTTCATCTCTTAACAGCCAACATTTTGTATCAGCTAAGGTGGGATTCTTCCATCAAGACAGGAGGGACATGAACAAGATGCTTTACCAGGAAACCTAGGCGCCACCAACTTCTTCAGCAACAAGGTAATATGCTTTCTCTTGCCTGGCCATGGACTCCACTTAGATCAATTTATAAGTATTCCCCAGGCCAATGAATATTTGCACCAAGTTCATTCCTCATCAGGACCATGAAACACCAACATTTTGCTTCTGGATGAGTTTGGATTGACATCCATCTGTGTAAACATAGATTAAAAGGTTGAATACAAATTCTTACATATTCTTTGTCCAACTTTGGAAAAATAAATTTAGAATTTATTTATATAACAGTTACCTTGAGTCTCCACTTCTTAACCTAAGAATGACACTCATATAAACTGTGCAGTATATTTTCCCATAGAGCTTAAGAATTTTCTTGGATTCATAACCATTGCATGTTTATTCTTACAGCAGATTTAAAGTACTTTATGCACAGAGAATGAAGTGCTTTTCTTAAATCTGACTGGCATAAGACTTTATCACCCACTTGCCAATTTATTTTGTTTGCATACACATTAGTAAACCCCAATAAAGAAATGACCTCAAAATCCCCTCTTCTTCCCATCAATTGCCCTATTATTTTGGGTTCTATGATCACTTTATCTTGGAGAGAATACCATGTGATTGAATCCACTCTAACTTCCAATCGAATCATTACTAGATGATTCGTATTCTATGTTTCGAGATGATCATAGAGGGATAGTAGGAACCTAATTTAATGTCATAGTTCATATCCAAGATAGAGATGGTGGGAACCACGCACAAAAAGCAGACGATTGAGGTGTAAGGAACGGAGGGATTGATTACCTTTTGAGAGTTATCAACGTTGCCACGGTCTTCCGCCACCATCTTTGGGTATTCATTACTTAAATGATAGTGTGAAGATGATGGTCGCACAATATGAGCTTTAAAGATGTCATCCACTTCGTGTCTAAAAGCTAAAGAATTTTGTGAGTGTATTAATCTCGTCATTTCACCGTTGCCATAATAAAAAATACAAAAAATATAAAATATGTTTTAAAATAGTAATATATGTTTTCTTTATATTAATAGAGCCATATGAACATATTTTTGTTCTACATTGGAATTCTCAACATTCTTTTTTAAAGAGAATGATGCATTGAGCTCTACCTTGGAAAAATCGACTATGAACTATAGTCGAACTTATAATTTAGTGAGAGGAACTTTATAATAATTTATTAATTTATTTATTTTGGCTCTTCATTTTCTTTGAACAAATCGGATAGCTTTCCGGTCAACAACCACTTCTAATTCTTCACCCGCCCAGTCAATGATTGCTTACGACCACCGCGGTGACGCTGACCACCCTCGCAGGACAAACATTTACCCTTCTCCCGGGGGTGGCAATACAAATGTCTTCTCCTTTGACTCGTACTTTTATGGTTCCGGTCCTACGCCTCTAGATTTCTTCCTCCGATCACCCCCGCCTTCCCTCTTCACCCTTCCTTCTTCGACCCCGGCCGCGGTGTCGCCACCGCCCCGCCCTTCGGCTTCCTCTTCTCAGAGCACCGGGCGAGGCGGTCACGCACCACCCCTTCGCTCCTATTTAAGGCCCCCCACCGTGAAGTCGACGCTCTGTCTCTCTCTCTCTCGTTCTTGATCTCTCCCGATCCAGGAGGATAATTGTAGGGTTTAGAGAGAGAGAGAGAGAGAGCGCTCTCTCCTTGCCCTGAGATCGATGAGAGTCCGAGGAAGGATCTGCCATGGATGACGCCCGGAACTCGAAGAGGATCCGCGGCTCTCTCATGGAATGGCAGATCTCCTTGGCTCTGCGAACGCCGACCGAGACATCGACAAGGTATCGGACTTCTTGACGTTCTCCTTGGATTTTTCTCCTGTTTCTGTTTAGACCTTTAAAATCTTGGGATGGCCGTAATATCTCTTGCCAATGCTTGCTTGAAACCTTGAGCGTCGTGGGAATTTCTTGTAAACCCTTGGAGGATGTAGCTCTTCGTCTCTGTTTGGTTCTGGTTCAAGGGCTTCAAGACTTCCAAGAAGTGCTGTGGTAGTTCACGGATGCAATGGCCGTGTAGTGCTTCCGAATGTCCAAGAATTCGGATTGCGATGTGTGAAAGAGTTTTGCGCTGCCAAAGAGGATATGATTGTAAGTTTTGGCCAGCGATGGGGTTCGGAGGAAATTGCATTTAGTTTTTGGCAGAGATAGTGGTTCAGAAACTATTGTGATTGTAGTGATTCTGGTGTGAGAACGATGGTAATCTTGGTTACGGAATTTGGTGTGACGGTACCAAGTAATGGTTTATTGGTGCAATATGGATTTCACTATGGTTAGGAACTCTACCTTCCAACTGGTATCGGCTACCGTATGGCTAGGCAGGCAATGTAATATGTATAGTTGATAATGCAACTCAGAAATGTAAGAGAAACTATGAGCAGAGAACCGCCTAATGAATACGTATTGTCTGCTCTAATTTCACCTCAAGGAAATTTCCACTCACTTATTTGCACAACACAAGAAATGATTTCTCACAAGGTGGTACATCTGATTCAGGGCTGAATAGTCATGTACAAAATAATTGGCACTCATAAACTTGTCCATTAATTTTCACTTTTTGGGTGTGTGTGTGTGCGTGTGTGTGTGTGTGTGGAGAATCTGACAGCTTGGGTAGAACTCATACGGTAGTTGGAGATCTTTATTGTTGGATCATTGGTTAAATATAAAATAATAAGATTACTGATATAAGTTAGATGTCTTTTCTCCCACATGGTTACCAAGGCATATGGATTTCCCTTTAATTAGTTACATTAAAGGAAGGAATAGGAGCTAACTGAATGACTTTAGTCGCATTTTATTTGGTACTCATGTTTGCAATTATGAATGAAGAATTTGTTCAGCACACATTCATTTCAATATGCCATATGGATGGTGTACTGGAGGGCATAGAATAACAACGAGTGACTTAATGTTGTGGTAGAAGATCCATGTGGGTAAAGAAGAGAAGGAAAAGTGACCGGACAGTGTCTTCTCACATCCGCCTTTTCTCCACGAAATGTTTTGCAGTAATTGTCAAGGATTCTTTGTAAGTCAAAATTACCAAAACGAATGTGGAACCAGGTATAAATGGAGTACCAATTTATAGTTGATTAGAGATATGACGGAAACATGAAAAATCCTACAAAGTTTATAGTTCATTGAAGATACCAACAATATGGAATAAAGAGTTTGACATCCCAAGAAATGGATAAGCAAGGGACTAAGGGTGCGGAAGATAGAATTAGCAGTTGAAGGCTAAAAGCATAGATAAGATTGTCAACATCAGCTTCAAAACTAGATTAAGTTACTTGTAGTCAAACATGCTTGCATAATGGACAATACATGATATGGAGTTTGAGCCACTAGACTTGAAAACAACTTTTATACATAGTTAAGAAGAAGATTATCACCTACTGTAGCTAGTAAAATTTGTCTAAAAGTGACCGATAGAAAATCTATGGTTGCTTAAAAGTTTCCCTTACTCTGATTACGAATGGTTCAGCATTTCTTTTTTGAAGATTGGCTTGAAGTGAAATATGGAATCATACACCTTTTTTTTATTAGAATTTATGACAATTTTATGTTTTCACCTTTTGCTGGTTGGCAAGTTTGTCTCACTTGCTGGGTGTTTTTTTCTTTCTGGGTACCTTATACTGACACTTTCACTTTTTAGGCACTGATTGCTCTGAAGAAAGGTGCTCAATTGCTTAAATATGGTCGAAAAGGGAAGCCAAAGTTTTGCCCGTTCAGATTATCCAATGTAAGTTCACTATCAATCAGCTTCTCTTGAAGCTGCCGTAGAATGTTCTCTACATGCTCTATCCATTATATGTTAACAAGATCTGATTTTGTGAGGAAATTAGTTCAGAATGTTGTCACACTATGTTTTTGATATTCTGGACCGGTGGATATCTGTATTAGATATTTGCTTTTGGTGTGTCTTTCGTAAAATATTTGGGAGGAATCCATCCAGTGAAATTTGCTTCTCCATCTGCCGTTGGGAGAGTGCACCATCGAGTATGGTGTACGTCTTTGTTATGTGACTATTATGTATATGTTGTATGTGGTTGATGTATGACTTTGTTTATTACATAAGAATTGTCATTATTTTTTTATGCATAAGTTTTATAATTAATTGATATATTATCATTTCATATTAAATTATTGATATTTGTACATGTTTCACAAATATTTAAGATTATTTTAATGATTTTTCAAAGATTCCTACCAGCATATGTGGTTGCTAATATGTTTTTATCTTATATTTATTTTTAGAGTAATCTACTACTTTGTAATATATCTGAGGCCTGGATGGAAGAGACTTTTTCGTCACTTGTGGCCTTACCAAAATGTGGTCCTTTTTCTAGTTAATAAAATATTTACTATTGTAAAGATAGGAAATTGAATTCAAGGATAAAAAAAAGGAGTGTCTTCTATAATTGATTTATTATTTTTTTATAAATATGGGATGCGACAATTTAATGGTATTAGAGTAATGTTTTTTAAGACTTGTTGGAATATGGGATCCTAGGACTAGAATATTAGATGACCCAATTAGTTTTTGATATTTAGATTTTGGGGATTACATAGTAATGCAACTAAAGCTTGATTTTAAGATATTATGATCATTTTATTATACCAAATATGATTTATTTATTTTTATAAGAGAATGATTAATTAAAGATGTTACTCAAAGAGAATCTTATTCAATGACTTAAATTGAGATTATCGAGTAAAAGGCCAAAATTTTAGTATATTTTCTTTAAATTACAATATGTGTTGTAATGTTTTGTCTTAGAAACTCTCGTAAAATTTTACATTTTGAATATAATTTTGCTTTAACACTCTTATCCATTTTTTGAAAAGTAGAAAAGAATTGTTAATTTAATTATAGAATGTATTTTTTAGATATATTTGTAATAAATAAATAAATATCAATTGACTTAATTATTCATGAAGATGCACATATTATACGATGCTTATGTTCACTATGAAATAGTTAGACTTTTATTTTATAAAAAATAAATAAATTAAGTTTATTGCATGAGTCTTGTAGCATTTCTTAGTTCGACCATATCTTATTCATGTTTGGGACCTAAAATTCATTGATATAATTTCGTTATAAATTTAAAGTAGATTATAGATGAATGAAGTTTTACATAATTTATATTATAGTTTGACATATTACTTTTGTTACCCTTTGTATCGGAATATTATTTTTGTCTATAATTATGAATATGATAAATTCAATAAAAAAAATTATAAGATTATATTTGTTACTTATTGTGTAGTTTCTTTAGAGTCGATGATTGATTATCTTTTTTATTTTTGTCTTATATTGTTATGAATACTTATGGTTAATATATCTAGTTTTACTAACTAAAGATCATACTAAGTATCAATTATTCTCTTAGATGTAAAAGTTTTGATAAATTTGAAGTACAAAAATTTTGTAGGGTCTTTTAAAAATATATAAATTGAAAAGTATTTACTTTTATAACTTTTGTTACCATATATTATTCTTAAAATTGAGATTAGATTTGACATGTCTTAAGATGGTTTGTAGAATTTTTTTTTACATTAATAATATATATGCCTTTGTAGTTGAATAAATTTGATTATGTATTGATATTTAAACTTAATTGTACGAATAATTAATTTGAATGGAGTTTTGATTTAATGTCAAATTAATTATCGGATATTATTTGTCTAATGCAATGACGATATCTAATAAGAATTAAATATAATGTTATTTCTTTGACACATATAATATATAAATTATTATCCTTTCAATTGCTTTTGTTTGTTGAGTTACACCTCAACTTATTGTTATGTTGACAACCAATTAATTTTTAAATTTTAAAAATTCTAATGATTTATTGGATATAGAATTTGATATGTTTGTTATGGGTAATCTAAAACCAAATTTATTGAATGAGTTTCTTCAATTTCTCATATATTTTATGATGAAAAAAAGAAAAATGTACAAAAAAAACACTTTTTTTGACTTAAACTTTTCGAGTGGTATATTTAATCTAAATATTTTTCAAGTTGATTTAGATTTATCTTTTGATTTATTATTTTTAGTGCTAACTATATTGATTAATAATTTAATATAATTTTTCATATCAAATTTGGGAGCCAAATTTTTGTTAAGTGAGGAAGAAATGTAATTAACGATAATTTCTCCCTTAACGTAAATTAATTACTATAAATAATGTATTTCTTTATTTAAATTATTAACTTTCTTATTTTTGTACTATGGTTAAGGAAATGATGAAAATTGATTTCCTTAACCATGTGGACAAGTTAGAAAATTTGTCAATCAATTAAATTATTAATTGATTTATTTCCTAACGAGTGATGTGATTTTTGAGAAGTAAATAGTTTATATTTCATTTTTGTGTGTGAATCATAAAAAATGAATATTATATTTCTATCTTTGTGTATGAAAGCAAAATAAAAATAAATTAAAAATAAAATTAAATATTAACTTATCTTTCAGGGAGATCGCATCTTTTCCTATATAAAGGAGGCTCCTCTTCTCTTATTCCTCACTGAACTTGACAATTAGAGGATTGAGAAGAGAATTTCCCAAGGAGATTATTCCAAGGAAAGGATAGCCAATGAGAAGTAGGATCCTCTATTCTGTTTTAGTCAACCTTGATTTATTTTTTGAAATCTTGATATTAGGATTATTATAATTTTATGATGCATAATAATGTTTCAATTTCGAAAATTTATGATCAATAAATAATGATAATTGATTTGTGATTTTAGAATGATTATTTGACTTATAATGGTCTCTTAAGCTTAGTGAATTTTAAGATTGATTTAATTATTGATTTTTTTCGATTAACATAATCATTTTAATTTATTTAATTAGATATATTTATGTTTCAAGAATTATGTGTGAATTTCTATGATTTAATTAATTTTAAATTTAAGATCATGAATTTAAATTCTTTAATTTATGGATTTTAGTTACTTTTTAATAATTTAAAAGATTAAAATCTAATTTGATAAGAGGAGTCTAATTGGGGTCTGACTTGAGTCAGGTTAATCATGTGGTCATATACGACCGAGCCCATGTGGTCAAGTATGATTCAACCCATATGGCAAGGTACAATCTAATTTATGTGACCAAGCATGACTCAGCCCATGTGGCTATGTACAACCTAGCCCATGTAGCCAGGTAGAAGCTAGCCCATGTGGTAAGGTACGACCCAACCCATGTGGCTAGACATGGTCCAACTTATGTGGCGAAGTATGACCTAGTCCGTATAGTTAGACACGACCTTAACTCATGTGTCGAGGCATAATCCAACCCACAAGCCAAGCATGACCTAGTTTAGTGGTAAGGCTCAGCCCAACTTGTGAGTGAGGCTAAGCCCAGTCTGTGAAGTTAGGCCCGCCCAGCTATGCGATTGACACTAGACATATCATCGCTCCTCTATCTAGCCCGTTGTACCTCAGCCCGACCTATTACTTGGGATAGGCATGTGCGGTGCACGTGACTCATCTACGACTCAGGTGGGTCAATTCGATTTGGGCAATTGGGCTATTCCAATTAGGGTTTTAGTTAATTGAGGACTATTAAGAGATTGATATCTAATATTTTTATGATTTGATGAACTTAAAGGTTTTATCTAAAAATGTCATTTGGAAATGATTATTGGTTTCCTACTTTCTTAAGTTTATGATATTGATATGATTGTTACAATGTAGTATATGTGTGACTATGCTAGTGGTCCACATTGAAAGTGTAACCTGTGAAAAGAGCTACGGGTCCATCATAGTGAGGAGCCACTAATGAACATAGTCTATCAGATCATACATCAAGCATGGTCTCTCATAATATCTTATTATACTATTTCTTGGATGCATATGTGAATGAATGGATGAATATAAATGAATTATCATGGTTGTTTATGTATCCCTACCGAGGGCAGGTAGGACGATTCCCTTCGGGGATTAGCGGGCCGTCAAGCATGATGGTTAGATGGTTCCTTCATTCACTGTTGAGAGGAATGCATCCCCATTTGAGCGGGTGAGAGATACCACTTCATCCGTTGTTGGGATTGCGATATGAGTTTTCTTCATCCGCCATTGGGAGGAATTCATCCTGTGGAGTATGTCTCTCCATCCGCTATTGGGAGAGTGCACAATCAAATGTGATGTACGTCTTTGTTATCTAACTATTATGTATATGTTGCATGTGGTTGATGTATGATTTTATTTATTACATAAAAATTATCATTGTTTTTTTTATGCATAAGTTTTATAATGAATTGATATATTATCATTTTATATTAAATTATTGATATTGGTATATATTTCACGAATATTGAAGATTATTTTAATGATTTTTCAGATGTTCCTATTAGTATATGTGCTTGCTGATATGTTTTTATCTTTTATTTATTTTTAGAGTAATCTACTACTTATGGCCCCACCAAGAAGATGTGATCATTTCTCTGGTTAATAAAATGTTTGCTATTGTAAAGATAGGAATTTGAATTCAAGGATTAAAAGAAAAAGGAGTATCTTCTGTAAATTATGAATAATAAAATACTAATTTATTATATTTTTATAAATCTGAGATGCGACACATATGCCCATATTAGACTAGCTATGAATGGGTGTCCATTATAGCAGACTTCATAGAATGGCTGTGACTCATTTTTGTCATCCCTTGATGGTAGAATCCTTTTCTTTTTTTGGTGTGTTTCTAAGATCTTGTTATTTGAACTTCATGCTAAAAATATGTGCTGGGAAATTAAATGATTTATTATGAACGAACAGTTGAGCACCTAATTGCTAATGCTTTTTTGGATTTTAATGCAGGATGAATCAACTTTGATTTGGTTTTCTGGTGGTGGAGAAAGAACTCTGAAGTTAGCTTCTGTTTTGAGAATTGTACCAGGGCAAAGAACTGTGAGATCACGCAATGTTTTTTAACATCATATTATTGGTTTCTACAACCTGAATTCTGCTTCTTATTTGCAATTTGATAAAATGTTTATATTTATCTGACTAGTTGTCTTTCTTCAGCCTGTTTTTCAACGATATCTACGCCCTGATAGGGACTACTTGTCCTTTTCACTTATCTACAATGATGGAAAAAGGTCTCTCGATTTGGTTAGTATATCAAATTCATTCCTGGCGTTTGTTTCGTCGTATGTTCTTTGTTCTTATTTTTCCTGACAATTTGACCCTCTTTACTTTTAACAAGATATGCAAGGATAAAGTTGAGGCAGAGGTTTGGTTTTCAGGCCTCAAAGCATTGATTTCCACCGGGCAATATGGACGCTCCAAAATAGATGGATGGAACAATGGAGGACTTAATACTGATGTACATGTTTACTGAAACCATCAAAATATTTTTTCCTTGTCTTCCATCATGAATAGCCTTGAGCAAATATATTTTGGTAACCATGTTTTGTTTAAATTAAAATGTCTCAATGTAATAGGAATATGCCATGATTACTTGACATAGGTAATCATAATTTACTTGTTTGAGGTGCTTAATGTTATAAACTGAGGTTGCTGCTCCTCTGAAGCATCCATTGCATGAGGTTAGGTTTTGTAGCAGTCAGTTCTTTTCTTTGTTCTGCTAAACTTTAATTGGCTTTCTGTTTCACACAGATTCCCCGTATTTTATCGTTTTACTCGATCTGGAATTGAAATGGTTTAACATACCTGTAAAAATAGGTCAAGAATTTTCACTTATCTGGCTTATATTTTGAGTCATAAGTCAACTTTATGCAAATTGGAACAAGACCATGGATTATATATAGACTAGAAACTGTCAAGATATATTTTCTTAAACTTGACACCTCATGTTTTACATTAATTAATGCTGGTGATTTTTGGCAATTTCCTGTATGCATAGTTTATAATCCGTTCAACCGCTTGAAAGTAAGAATAATTTTCAAAAACCAGCCAGTTAATGTTTTTCTTATACTTGAGATCAAGGCTTTGCCATTATGGTGAGTGGTATACATAACTGACTGGTACCAACCTATACCTTGGTACAACAGCCTATACCTTGGTCAAATTGGTCAAACTGATAAATATCTATCACCACCAATAGGTACAATTAAAGTTTGATTCCCTCCTTGAGATTGCGTAACCAGTAAATAGTGTACCCTAATTCTACAAGTTTGTATGATTAAAGATTTACGACAACCATTGTTATTCTTCGCAGCAATTACCTGTGGTGTGATTCTTAATATAAACATATTGTAAATAGAAAATCATGTGATGTGTTGACATTGACATCAGGGTTTCTAATTTCGAATGATACCGCCTATACCGGGCGGTATGTACCGGTCCGCCAATAGATCAGTACGCGGACCGCCCACTACTGGGTGGTACCGTCGATTGGGGTTGTTTCCTCCCCGTTATCACTCGAAATTGGTCGGTGACGATCGATTTCGACCATTGTCGCTCGCTATCGGGCGGTATTAGCCGAGGGAGAAGGAAGAAGAGGGAGAAGAAAAAGGAGACCCTGGAGATCTGGTTCCGCTCTCCCTCGACGATCCCGATCCATCGCCTCCTGCCCTCGTCGGACACCGCAGATGAGATGTTGCCTCCTCCTCGTCTGAGGCGACGAGGCCTTGCCGTCGTCGGCTACTTCTCCTAATTTGCGCGGGGAGAAGAAGCATTGGTGTGGGGAGAAGAAACCTCGGTGACGTTGTCGAGGCTTCGAGGTTTTCTTCACCCCACTCGGGAAGAAGAAACGACGCGACGTCGCCCCTTTTTTTATTTTTTAACTTATACACACACACACACAGTACGAAATTACAAACCTTGATTGACACGATAATAATACTTCCACCAAATTATGCATTTGAATCCCATGTATCATGCGAATGTATGTGAACTTCATGTCATTACCTTGTGGGTAACATCTTAGATCTGGCACACCAATGTACTTGTATATAGAGAGAAACACTCTTATTATATATTAACCTCTTTCACTTCGAACATGAGTAATGTTATTCTGCCCTTCGGAGAAGTAATGTTGGTATTAGAGTTGATATATTCAGAATGTATACATTTTAGTGTGTTATTTTCTTCTTAAGTTCCCATTATAGAAGGATTCTAACTTGAAAATTGCAAACGGAAAACACAAAACTGGTTTAGAGTCATTCACAGGCCACATTTAACAGTCGAGGAATTTGCTTCTGCCTTTGGAAGAACTTTAGTTTCATAAGAATGTTAATGTGGTAGCTGCTTGGACCTGGGCTTTTAGATCCATTATTTTATTTAGATAATGTTATACTCATGCTTGAATTAGTGGGTTGAAAAAAATATCATTATGGGAGCAGTTTGACATGACCTATTCAATCAACATTTCTCCATTTTTGTTGGTTGCATCATGTGCTTTATACCTGGAATTTTTTCTCCTGCAGATACTTGTCTGTCATATTTGGAATTTTTTTTGGTGGCATTATGTGTTCATCGATTTGCAAGTTAGTTTGTCTCTCTGAGAAACAACAGCCATCACGCAAATGATTCCAATGCTTTAAAATATTGCGGCAGACTGGATTTTTTTCCTATGCTCCATTCTTGCTAAAAATTTTAGTATATTGTTGATGCTTCAAAAGACCGTCCTATGGTTTGGTTGATTTGGTCTGTACTGCAGTTTCTTTCATCTCTTTTATTGTATTTCTTCTGTATATTTTATTTGCATTATGTTCCTCATACTTTTGTTACATGGAAATTGATTTCAGGATAGTCGAGGATCTGCATCAAACAGTATAAGTGACCAGTCTATTGGCTCCACTTTAGATTCCTCCGAGAGCAGGCTAACTTCAAGTAGCATACCAAAAAATCTCTCTTTTGAGTACTCTGTTACCTCAGATATATCAGATGCGACAAATATGCATGTCAAAGGAGTTTCTTCAGATGGTTTTAGGGTCAGTATTTCTAGTGTCCCTAGCACATCTAGTCATGGTTCTGCACAGGATGACTTTGATGCTGCTGGTGATGTTTATGTGTGGGGTGAAGTCATTTGTGATACTTCCACCAGGATTAGTGCTGATAAAAATAGCAGTCCCTCCAGTGCAAGGTCTGACATCCTCCTACCCAAGCCAATAGAATCTAATGTAGTTTTGGATGTGCATCATGTAGCTTGCGGTGTTAGACATGCGGCTCTTGTTACCAGACAGGGAGAATTATTCACATGGGGTGAAGAATCTGGAGGACGACTTGGTCATGGAGTTGGCATGGATATTATTCACCCTCGTTTACTTGAATCTCTGTCTACCTTTAATGTTGATTATGTTGCTTGTGGGGAGTTCCATACCTGTGCTGTCACTGCAACCGGTGAACTCTATACTTGGGGAGATGGCGCACATAATGCAGGGCTTCTTGGTCATGGGACAAATGTGAGTCATTGGATGCCTAAAAGAGTTTCAGGACCTTTAGAAGGGCTTCAGGTTTCTTACGTTTCTTGTGGTGTTTGGCACACAGCTATAGTCACTACAGCTGGGCAGTTATTTACATTTGGTGATGGAACATTTGGTGTATTAGGGCATGGAAACAGAGAAACTGTATTATACCCAAGGGAAGTGGAATCATTGGCGGGTTTGAAGACAATTGCTGTTTCATGTGGGGTTTGGCACACTGCTGCTGTTGTTGAGGTTATGGTGACACAGTCTAGTGCTTCATCTGGAAAACTATTCACTTGGGGTGATGGGGACAAGTATCGCCTTGGCCATGGTGATAAGGTAGCACGACTTAAACCTACCTGCGTGCCTTCATTGATTGATTACAATTTTCACAGGTTGGCTTGTGGCCATAGCCTCACAATTGGGTTGACCACTTCAGGACAGGTTTTTACCATGGGAAGTAATGTATATGGTCAACTTGGTAATCCCCGCTCTGATGGAAAGCTTCCATGCATGGTCGAAGACAAACTTGCTGGCGAACCTGTGGGAGAGGTTGCTTGTGGTTCATATCACATTGCAGTTTTGACAACCAGAGGAGAAGTTTATACATGGGGAAAAGGAGCCAATGGAAGATTGGGCCACGGCGACTTTGAAGATCGTAAAACACCTACACTTGTTGAAGCTTTAAAAGATAGACCAGTCAAACAAATATCTTGTGGGTCGAACTTCACAGCTGCCATATGCCAGCATAAGTGGATATCTGGTGCAGAGCAATCCCAGTGCTCAGCATGTAGACAGGCATTTGGATTCACTAGAAAGAAGCACAATTGCTACAACTGTGGGCTTGTACACTGTCATCAATGCAGTTCAAGAAAGGCCTTGAGAGCAGCACTATCTCCTAATCCTGGAAAACCTTATCGTGTATGTGATTCATGTTATGTGAAACTGAATAGTGGATTGGAGCCTGGTGGAGTTAATAACAAGAAAAATGCTAAACCCTGGATTTCCACTGAAAGCAAAGACAAGTTTGATAAAGTGGATACCTTACCCAAGGCTTCTCTATCCAGAAATTTGGAGTTGATCAAGAGTTTGGATATAAAGACTGCCAAGAATGGGAAGAATACCAATTTTATGTATATGACTCAAAATCCTAAAGGTTCTTCAGTTTCACCGCTGAAGAGTCTTGCTTTCCCTGGTGGAATTGATATGCTTCAAGCAGTTTCTAAACCTGTCCAAACAACAGGAGCTAACTCTGCAAATCGCTCCAGAGCTGTTTCACCTTTTTCAAGAAAATCGAGTCCTCCACGCTCCACAACACCTACTCCCACAACGTCTGGTCTTTCTTTTACCAAAAACATTTCTGATAGTTTGAAGAAAACAAATGATCTTCTTAACCAAGAACTTCTAAAATTACGTTCTGAGGTATATCATTCCCTTATAATTTAGAGCATCATTTACCTGCCAATTGCTTACATATTTTGATGCATGCTAACTAGGTTGATAGTCTACGACAACGATGTGAACGCCAAGACTTTGAGTTGCAGAAGGCTGAAAAGAAAGCAAAAGAAGCCATGACAGTTGCTGCTGAGGAATCAACAAAATCCAAAGCTGCCAAAGAAGTTATAAAATCACTAACTGCACAGGTGAACTTTCCATTGAAATTTCCTTCATTAGCTAACTTGGTTCTTTATGTTTAAAATCCTCAACAAGAGTAGCTATCTGCAAAATGCAGCAGCAAGACTATGCTAATTTATGGTTAAACAGTTTAAACTGCAAGGTCATTCCAGTTGAACCCAATATGCCTTTCTTTAATTAGATGCTCCATAAGGATTATGATAATCGAGGAACCCCTATGAGCCCCTTGAGCTGATAACTGTAATGTATGATTCACCTTCTAAGAAGCCTCATTTAAAATTTCTACCGACCTAACTTCTACAGAAGGAAAGATTACTCATTTGGTATTTGTTGGCTCATTTATTTCTAAAGTAATAAAACTGGTTATGACCAAGGTTTTAACCACCAGTAGGACTGATACATTCATACTGATCAAGAATCAGAATTGAAACATCCGTTGGTTTTAACATTCAACAATACAAAGCAGTATGGTTCAGTATACTGCTTGGTCTACCAGTCATACAGTCTAAAATGTTGGTTTTAACAAAACCCATCCTGTGGACCATGGTTAACTTTATCGGTCCGTACCAGTGTACTAACCGGTTGTCGGTACAATACGTATTGAGTCATACTGACATACCAACATACAGTATGATGGGACATATCAATGTACCGTCCATACTAGTCTCCTATTGGATCGGTATATACCGCTCATACTGAACGGTATGTTGCGGTATGACGAACCTTGCTATGGACCAACTTCACTTGACGCAACACGTTGATCTAGGTCCACCAGTACAAAGTACCAACAAGAAATGAGTCATGTGGGATGTGCTTTGCTGCCTAAAATTACCATCCACCCTAGAGCAGCAATTGTTTGCATGCACCAGCAAATTCGGACGCATAGAATTCAGTTTGGTTTGGTTTCAAAAACAAATAAAACATATATAATCTGTAGAACATGACAAAACCAAATCAACTTGATAGTAAAAAACAAAAAACAAAAACTAGACAAAGACTATTGGATTCGCTGCTTTCTTTAATCAAATTCCAATTGTCATAACTCCTAAACATGCGTTGTTACTTCAGATGATATTTGTATGGATTATATTGTATTACAATGACAACAAGGCATAATACCCAACTATTTGGTATTGTTTGCATGGATCCTTTCCTACTGTAGTGCTATGCAAGACTAGGGTTTAAAGTCTCACGTGTGTATTGGCATACCGACACATGGTATGACAATATGTGCCATGGTACCAAGAAGTAAGAGAGGAGGAGAAGAGAAAGAGAAGAAGATGATGAGAATAGGTAGAGGGCCATGGTGGCAGACAATGAGCAAGCGGCAATGGCATGCCCCACATCGTAAGCGGCTTGGGGGTTAATGGTAACAGAGAGAGAGAGAGAGAGAGAGAGAGAGAGAGATTCAATATACTTTTTTAGACATAGTAAAATACCTCTCCTTGCACCACTAATCCTAACGAACTCACCTCCTCATAGTAAAATAAAATATTATACATTTTTAGACATTAAACATGATTGACCATATTACACATCATTTTTCAGGACAAAGTATGCCATGTTTCAATTTGTTCACATATAATATTTAGATATATAATATTCTATTTCATCTGGTTCAGATTTTTTTCTCACAAAAGAAAACCACAACCAGAACCAAGTGTTGTTCAGTTCCTGTATTTTTCAACTTGAACTAAATTCTTCAAGATAGATTCTGATCTTTTTCTTCTGAATATATTTAAGTAGAGGAAAAAAAAAATGTGATTCATCGAATGGATCATTTTGGATGAGATAAAGATTAATAATATTCTTAGTCAGAGAGCCTTATCATACACTTTTCTCTGGAAGGTACTTTTATTGTAGAGTATTTCTGTGTTGTATCCTTTTTCTCGGGAAAGGACTTGTATTGTTCTTAAGTATTAACAAAATAAAAGATTACACCAAATAATGTGTTATGAACTAAGAGAATTGTAAATTTAGCCAAGTAAATGTATGCTCTTTCTTCATTGAATCAGTGATCCAAGACATTCTGGATTTTGCTTTATCTAGAGTCATCAGTGAAGTCTTCTTATACTCCCTTATAGATTTATGGTACAGTATCATGTTCTAATCTAGCTCACTTGTGAGTGGCTTGGATACAATATTGTTCTCAAGAGGAATATATCTACGCGTTCCTATGCGATTCCAAGACACATGAGATTATGCCAGATAACACTAGTGAAATTTATCTTATGAAGCTGCATGCCTGGCTTATACATGGCATAATGAAATTTATAGTACAGTATCATGTTCTAATCTAGCTCACTTGTTGTGAGTGGCTTGCATACAATATTGTTCTCGAGAGGAATAGTTATGCATGCCTATGCGATTCCAACACACATGAGATTATGCCAGATAATCTCGTTTATATTATAAAGCTGCATGCCTGGCTTCTACATGGCATAATGATACCAAATAGAACTTACCAATTAGATCATGCTGACATTTTCTTTTTACGCTATCATTTGAAACTGTGAGGATATTTGTTTCGTTAAAATAAAGCTCAAACTATCCTATTATTTTTCAGCTTTTAATTTGATCACCTATTCTCTCTTGGTTTCCTTTGTAGCTGAAAGAAATGGCAGAACGACTTCCTCATGGAACTTATGGTACCAACACAACAATACCAATGCACCTGCCAAATGGTGTCGAATCACATGCTATTCAGCACATCGGTTCAAGTGGAGAACACTTGTTTATAAATGATGCTGGCAATATTGCTAACATGGCTCCTTCCAGAACTGGCTACTTGGGTCAGATAAATGAAAATTCAGGTGACAACACTTCGGTCAGAGAGATTTATCGACCTAATGAGACAAGCGCACCTCCAACCCCAAAGATTGTAAACGCCAAGATGGAACAGAATTTGAACCCACAAAATGCAGGCCAAGGAGAAATGTGGGCATCTAGCACTAGACTCAAGGATATCGATAGCAGGACTATTGCATCTCCTCAAAGTCATGATGATGCTGTTTCAGCGGTTAGGAGCCCCAGCGAATTGAGTAATGATGTTGAAGCAGAATGGATAGAACAATTTGAACCTGGTGTTTACATAACCCTGGTGACCCTTCGAGATGGAACAAGAGACTTGAAGAGGGTGCGCTTCAGGTAATGCAGAGCTATTTGCCACTTGTTCTGATACATTTCATGTCGATGCTTTATTTTTCTGTATCTTCATCTCACCGTAGAGTTTAGGTTACTGTTTGTACTCCTGACAGGTAGGGATATTGAATTGACCATCTCTTGAGAGCTGATTTCTAATTATGGGAATTCTTTTGTAGTCGGAGAAGGTTCGGTGAGCAACAAGCAGAAGCTTGGTGGTCGGAAAATCGTGAGAGGGTGTACGAGAAATATAATTTTCGTGTACCAGACAGGACCTCGTCAGCCATGCTAACTTGATTTTGCATGCAGATTAGAACAAGAACAAAAGCTCCTGTTTGCATAGCTTAGTAGCCAGAAGCAGATCAACAAAATAAAAAGGCTAATGGAGCAGGAAACCAAGGTTATTTTCTTCTTTTAAGTTAAAACATTGCAGATACTCAGCTGTTAAGTCTTTTTTTTTTTCGATTTTTGTAAAGAATTATGTTCCTTTTGTACGTTGTTATTTTATTTTGAATAGAATCACTATCTGCCCGTACCCTTTTTTTTGTACTCGTGTAAATAAAAATCATCAGATGTGCGAGCGACGGGTGTGCACTTTGTTTTCATGCTGACGGTTGGAGCCCTCGAGGCTTTTCTCTCTCTCTCTCTCTCTCTCTTTCTCTTGTTTAGGAAGTAAGTGTGATTCTATTGCCATTGCTAAGTGTCTTATGAAATTTTGATGTAGCTGCTCTCTCCTTGTGTTCATTCAACCGCAGATGCCCAGTAGTCCATCCAAGTATATTTTGAGGATGTACACGCGGCATGTTATTGAGGCAGTCACGGGTCCTGAGTAGCTGCTGTTGTCGCCTTTATGTCAACTGCGAACTGCAGCTAAGTTATGTTTTCTCGATCAACGAAGAACACACACATTCAAACAAGTAACGAGGAATGTTACTGAGCAGTATTCAAATTAGTTGGTGGGCTAATTATGTGTTATTGTACTTTGATCCTATTTGTACGATGATCTCTGTATTTAAAAAAATTATATTCAAATTTTATAATTTTAAAAATAAAAATAAATAATTTTATTAGTTTTAATATCGTAAATTATATTGATGAAAAATATTTTGGATTGACATAAAAATGATAGATAAAAAGATAATTTTAATATTTTTTTTTATTTTTAATGATTTTATCGATAAAAAAATAATTTAAACATCCCATACGCTAAAAATAAAAAAAAAATTTCATCACATGTTATGTTTTTTTTATCGATACAACCGATGATACCAGGATAAATAAAATTAAATAAATTTTTTAAATACTAAATTCGTGTTAGTTATAAAGTCCAAATATAAGACGTAATACAAGTGTTGGTGGCGTAACATTCCTTGCTTAGTTCGACCAATGATGCTTTCTGTCATTGTCAACTTGTTCGGTCAGGTATCTTACTCTTTTCCACAACCTAGTTGGATAAGCTCCCGTTATTCTCCGCTCAGCTATCCTTACCTAATCTTTTTCCCATCACTGCCACTTACCCTTTATAAAATAATAATGATAATAATAACAGTAATAAGATATAGACGTTCAAGCATCATATCTTACTTTTTATATCTTTAACATCAAAACATTTCATATTTTACCTTCTTAACCCCAGAATTCCAACCTCGGACTCTCCTTCTGGTTTTGTATAGTACTAATTGTCTATTTTTTTTTTTTAATCCAAGATGCATATTCTATTTTCAGTACACCAACATCACACGATATTCTTGCCACTCGCTTCACCCTAACCATGCCTTCCCACTAGATGAAGTCCAAAACATCTATAACTTCAGTTTGCACAAACTTGTCTATTTTGATCATAACATCAACACATCTTGAAATCCTAAACTAGTAACAATTTGCACCACGTTTCTCTCTTTAATTAACAAGAAAAACACCCAATTTTCTTTAATAAAAAAAACATTACCTGCGAACAGGGGAAAGTTCAAAGAAAAAAAGTGTCCCTTGAATGATTAATTCACCATCAAAGGCACATCACAATCACTCAAACCTTGATTTCGGACGCATGATAAACTATGACATTCAACGCTAATAAAAAAGAGTAGTAGTCTTCAGAAATTTCTAGATTAGGGATGAAGGCGAGAATTGTTTGAAAGACGATAATGACAAAGAACAACTTGTTATCCTGTGGGAGATGAAACCATAGCATATGATGAAGGATTTCAGCAAGCATGTATTGCAACATAAATAAAGGGGATGAAACAAATCTAACACACACCACGTAAAGTGGCATCTCATGGAGAAATTAATGCTCACTCATAAGCCTAATTTCAACATCATTTCCACAAAATGTTCCTTGGAAATAAGTTTCAAAACACTCTAGAAGCATGCCCAGAATTAAAAAATATCTCCAAACAGACATGTAAACTAGAAAGATGAATAATACATACATACATGCATACATGCATACATATATACATCAGATATATATATATAATCACCAGTAGCAACAGATATATCAGCTGTCAATTGACCATATATCAAGCATGCTACAATTGAAAAATCAAAATGCCTAAGAACCAAATCAAAATCCTAAACTGGATGAAGCATCCAATTTCACGTTGCACAGAACACATCCAGTTCCCGCAATGCACCTTCTCAGATTTGGAATATAAACAGAAGCAATATAAGGTCGAAACCATAATCACAGTGTAGCCTAGCTGAAGTCTATGTTAAACAGAAATCTTCCGGATCTTGGGTCAAAAAAGAATACGAGCCACACAAGATGTATCAGGGCCTGCATATGTCTTTTGAAAGGGCAAATTCTGTAAGCCCCAGTAAATTCATAGCCTTCAAGAAGTGAAATATTTGTACCAAATGGTCAAAAAGAGAGAAAATAGACCCAAAAAGAACCAAATCACATTCTATGGGGCAACTCGGTCACTTAAGCCTCTCTCTGACGGGCAATCCAGGAATCAGGACACACTATTGGATAAGATTATCCGAACAATGTAAGATACTAGGTAACCCAAAATGCATCGAGAATGACCATGAGGCCAAATTGAACCTGCCAAAAGTTTTAACAAAGTTATGAGAATTCAGGTTGCCAAAATAACTCGATAGTTTCAATGGCAGAAACATTGAAATTTACCCGATTTCCTTCCCGAGGAAAACATATTGGTCAGTGCAAACCGAACGAGACCATCAGGGCCAAAACCACTGGTTACCTTATATTATTTCAGGCTTTTCTTAAGTGAGAACCATCATTTTCCAATTGACACCTCAGACTTTTTTTAATCCTGCCGAAATCACAGAGATCTGAACACATGAGACTATCATTTCACCAGGTCCTCTGACAGCATCCAGATCAACAACATTCCAAAAATCCACGATCATGATAAAAGATCTTACCAAACCATAGAATCCAACGAGCAAATGCATAAACATCTAAGTATCAAGAAGCAGTAGCTTTCCAGCAAGAACATGCACCGTATCAAAGCAACATTAACATCTGAACCAGTCCATGCCCTGAAGTGGCTAGACAACACCATCCTGGCATATCCAAAAAAATAAAAGAACAGTAAGAAAATTAACAAAAGCCAGTAGCAAGGCACATGGCCTCATCAAACACTTGTAACAATACAAAACTACCTCCATGGATGAATAATGACATAAAAGCAAATAATGTTATTTTGCAAATGCTTCTAGAAAACAAAGAAATGGTGTATCATATTCATACCTGTAACAGAAGCAATAAGATCAAGTTCTGTAGCCGCCGCCACCTCCACTAGGCCGATCATATGGACCAGACCGATCACGATTATATCGATCACCTCCTGTGCCCCCATGGCTTCCTCCATCTCTGTTTCGTGCAGAGAAGCGGTCCCCATTCCGGTCAGGTCCATATCGGTTATTACTGCCACGACCACCCCCATACCTGTCATCTCTGCCACTATACCTATCTCCTCTTGCACCATCACCAGAAGGGCATTCTCTTGCAAAATGACCAGGCTTCCCACACTTAAAACAGTCACCACCATCTGAACCTCGTCTGCTACCACCAGAATCCCGACCCCAGCCACGCTCACGAGCACGATCTCGATCAAAGTCACGACCTGAATCACGATCCCTGCGACCAGGACCATGGGGTTGAGCTCTTTCCACGGTAATCGATTGTCCATCCAGATCCATTCCATTCATGGCTTCAATAGCGTCTTCCATAGCTTCCTTGTCATCAAAAGTGACAAAGCCAAATCCACGAGAGCGACCAGAAAACTTGTCAAGAATAACCTGGCTAACAAGAGTGCACATATGAATAGATAGCCTAGTGGATCCTACAGATATAAAAGCTAAACATGAGTTTGTATAAAGCAGTAAAAAGACCAGTCCTAGCTATCAAGCTTTTGGCTCATCTTAATTGGAGATCATTGTAATGGATAACTTCGGGATTTTTTAACTCCATACTAAAAGGAGGATGCCTGGAGTGGATTCCTCTGCTGCTTCTTAACAATTAGATCAAGTCTCAAATGATTAATCCAAGAAAATATAGTGTAGGAGATGACTATAAAGATAACATTGGCTTATTGGTGTATCTAGCTAGACGTAACATAAATAGTTGAACTTCTGCCACAAACTATCATGCTAATATTAACACAAGGCAAACCATGTTCCAGCAAAAAAAAAAAAGAACATTAGAGAATCTGAAAAAAAACCTGTAGTGAAGACACCTAAAAATTAATTTTTTGCTGCTTCCTAGGAATTAGAACAGAAGCCTTATTGTTTTTAATCCTAGGAAAGACAGTTTGATGGTGATTATGGAGGTAACATCATGCACTCTCAAATGATAGACTTTGGCACTCATCATTGATCAATAGCAGTATCAGACCATTGGTGTATCTAGCTAAATATAAATAACATAATTAGTTGAATCTTCATCTCAAAGTATCATGCATTAACATAAGGGAAACTACTTTATAGTTATAAAATAGTACATAAAGACAAAATATTAGATATGGCATATGAACCACAGAGGACAAACAAATATTGTATGGCCATTTTCCAGCAGAACAATTACTGTCCATTTATAGAAACAAAAAACAATTACCACATTAATATGATTGCTACTGAAAATTTAAGTAAGCAAACAATCACCAAAGAAAATGTGATGTGGTGAATGTAAGAAAAACAAACAGATTTTGCATGATCCAGGAAGAGAAAGTGAAGGATTCTGCAGCATGTCACCTTTGCCTTGGTAAGATGGCCAAATTTCTGAAATGCCTCCTTTAAACCTCCATCAGTTGTTGTCCACGACAAACTGCCAATAAAGCAGCTGTATTCCTCTGGTTCTGACATTTTCAATAAATAACACTGCCCAAAAGGACAAACATCATGAATAAAAACCATAGAGCATCCACAGGAACGAGGAAACATTTTGATTCAACAAACTGATAAGACAATAAGAAAATGAACCCAGCTCATGATCCAATCGTACAAGTAATCAGAGAGCAAGTCCCTCCATAAATAATGTCAAGAAGTGTATTACACACCATGCTAAA